AGCCTCTTCTCTTGTTCCAGGCAGAACATGATGACAGGCAGTGTGAACACTAGCGTCTTGCCTGAGCCCGTGAAGGCGATGCCTATCATGTCGCGGCCGGACAGACTGTCAGAAGGGGAGGGCCTGAGGTTCAGGCTCGGCCGAAGACACAGGAACATCCAGCCACCATTCCTCCCTGCCACGCCCTCCTCGGAGACCCTGGGCCCACAGCCCACACTCACATGGTAGGGATGCCCTGGACCTGAATGGGCGTCGGGTGGTGGATGCCCTTCTTCTTTAAGCCTCTCAAGATGGCTACGGGAGACAACCCAGGCACCACCCGTGAGGCTTATCCATACTTTGTGAGAACCCCAAACCCTGCAGAACTGGCACCATCCCTACAAGTTGCAAACGATGAAACCAAGGCTCCGAGAGAGAAAGAGAGAGAGAAAGAGAGAGAGAAAATGAAAAAAGAAGAGAGACTTGTCTAAGACCCGTGAGCTAGGTGCAGTCAGGATTCACACCCAGGTCTGTCTAAGTCCAACATCGCTTTCCCACTGAAACTGTGTGAGAGCAGAGAAAAGTGAACGTGCACAGCTGAGGCAATAAGGAGCCCAAGGAAACCCCTACTCAAATCCCTCCATCCCCAGTGGCTGCCCCCAGTGCTGACGCGGCAGAGCTCAGTGGTGGCTGGGACACAAGCCCACAGGTGCTTGACTCTAAAAGTGTGGCGTCTCTCCCCATTCCCCAGTACCGGCAGGAAACTTCATTTCCTTGAAGCTCTTGATGGGTGGGGGGATTCCATCTCCCTCCACCAGGATGTGGTACTTCCTCCGCACACGCTCATGCCGCTCTTCAGACATGCTCAGGACATAACGAGGCGGGGTCCAACTGCGGGGAGGTGGCAGGGATTGAGAGAGACCCTAGGTACAGCAGCGTCAGTCCCATGCCATCCCAAGGAAAAGCAAACGCAGATTGGAAAGACGCACCTTGTTTTGATCGGGTCGTCATACGTGATGCCTTTAGCCATCTCCTTCACTGACATCAAGGCTGAGGAGAAAGACACGGCTCAGGGCTGGCTCCTGCTCCGAGGAGAGGGACCCTAGAGATATGATGCCTGGGGCTGGGGGAAGGAGGCTCAGCCCACCTCCTCACTACCCTGGCTGCAAGCATACCTCGGCCCTCAGCCACACTCTCCAAGATCTTCTCTTCTTCCTTCAGCTGCTTCTCCTTGGCGGACTCCTTGCGGGCTGACAAAGGTAGCCTACGAGGTCAGAGACACCAGCGGGTGCACCGGGCTCAGCTCCTCCCTCCCGCCCGGGCAGTGGCGCGCAGCCCACCTTCCGCCTTCTCTTTGAGGTGCTGATGCTGGTCCAGGAGGCTGACGTTGGACTGAGGGCCCAGCGGGATGTCGTCCTCATCTCCCCGGGTCTCGCTGCCGCT